AGAAACAAACAAACAAGCAGATACGTAACAATATATATATGTTATATACACATTTAGTTATTTATATTTCAAGCATTTTAAACAAATAATCAGCCTTACCATGTAAGAACTAGATTGTTCAATCCTCTCAACATCCAACCACCATATACTATATATATATATATAGATACATATTTGATTAAACAACTGAAACCAGGAACAAATCAAATAAAAATGCCAATAACGAGTTGAAGCATAAAACATATAATGTAAATGTAGTTGAGCAGCTGGAGAAAAACAGCACATAAACAATGCTAAACAAGTAAATAAAAAAGTAAAGCAAACAATTATCTCTTCTAGTTACGACCTTTGTACTCAGTTGCTGCTTGTCGTAGGTTGCTAAGCCTTATAAAATTTCGCACATGCAAAATTTAGATTTTTAGGTTTTATATATACATTTGAAATAACCAAAAAATCATAAATTACTATACTGATACCATAGAATTCCACTACAATTTATCAAACTTAGTAATTAAGCTGTATTTGGGTCTAAAAAAATATGAAATTTCAAGCAGACTAAAGACATATTATCAGCTTGAAGATTTGTATTCGAAAGAATGAGATAATTGAAAATGGCTGAAAAAAGCCACTAGGGTGACATTCTAAGCTTTCGATTGGTTATTCACATGTCATAGACAAAAGTAAGTGTATTTAAGGGAGTGTTTCCAAAAATGGAAGAGGTGAGTGGGAACACTGTGTTTGATTCAGTACATGTGTGATATCTCAGCAAACAGAAAATATAGGAGATTCTTATTTTATATTCTAGTTTGTTAATATTGGTAATTTGAGTTCCTAATTTGTATGAAACTATAGACTTTGTATTTTGACATCACAAATATCTAATTTGAACCAATACTGCATTCAATATATAACGTGACACACAAAAATCAATGTTTATCTGTGTTTTTTAATATTTACTTTTAAATTAAGAAACCAAATAATGTATAATACTAAAATTTGCATTATAATCTACAGTTTGATAACCAACTTATTGACATAAATTCATAAAATAGTAGTTCAATAATATTTTGAATTAGAGTCAACAAATGCAATGACATGGCCTTTGACCCATGTGGAAAGGGTTAAAAACACACTCCAAAGTACCTAGAATGTGAGGTATGTAAGAGGAAAAATATCCAATTACCCGAGCTGACTATGGAAGGAGTAGAAGAGTATGTTAAGAGTACCCCCACTTGAAAGGAGCTAACCAAAACTAGACATACAATGAATGATGTTGGTAAAATGCCAACCATCCCACAAAAGACATGTGGAACCAAAACAAGTCCCAAGGTGAAGGCAAGAAACTGGTACCTAATCACATGGTGAAAAAATTTAAGATAAGAATGTGTACCATGGGCATTCTCAGTCATGCAGAAATAGCTTATCCAAATGTGATCAAAGACAACATATTAAAACAGGGAAGACCTTAACAACATTGAGCAAACAACGAATGAAGAAAACCTGTGGGTAAGACATGTAAGGGACATGCAGGTGCTGAACATTTAAAATGAATAAAGATTATATCTCAGAATGAAACAAAAGAGCAACTAAAAATTTGAATATAGCATCTAAGATACCCCATATGACACTAAATGTACAGGAGTAGCCCCAAAAATGGACCAGTGGAGAAAAGAACTGACCGCAAGACCCTATCGGAAGAGGATGGTAAACAAATGGAAGTGTCCCACCCTAGAAGATCCTAAAAGCAAAAAAAAGCCACATGTGGAGGAAATGAACTGAAGATGGCAAACACCTCAATATGGAGGTAAGAAGGAGGAGGTATCTCATGAAAATTCCTAAATATAAGTGGAACCCCGAAGAAAAGAAATAGAAGGTAAACGTGAACTGTAGGAGTGTAGATAGGGTAAAATGAAGATTAAAAAAAACTAGAAAGAGGGCAAAATGGATACAATTAACAGAGATACAAATGACATAAAATCAGGAAGAAAATTTGCCTGATGGTAAGCTAAAGCAAAAAGAATTAAAGGCTGTATAGGGTGAGGCTTGTAAGTGCCCACTCTCAAAAGGGAGACAAAAAGATCATCATGAAACAATGTTATGAGAAGTGGAATATACTATGAAACATGTCTAAAAGAAATAACTGAGATAGGCCTAGCAGATTCGGCAGTAGAGACCTGGAAAGCAATCAATGAGAAGGTGGAGGAAAACTGACAAAATCAAGGTCATCTGAAAATGAGTTCAGTTGTTATAGGAGGAAGGTGAGCAATAGTGGGATCAGGTAGGAAGGACCCTGGTCACCAGTGGCCCTCACAAACAAAATTAATGGTAAGAAGTATAAATTATAAATTAAACTATATCATAAACTATAATAAAAGACGAAAATTAAATAGTCGATAGTGGAAATGTTAAGAAACTGTGTAGTGAAATAAACATATGTATGTGATGTTGTGTTGAAGAAAAAATAGTTAACCTATTTATTGATTAATCCATAAATATAACCATGGGTAAACCGAAAATATAACACATATTAAGCCTAATCGAACAAGATATTTAACCTAATTATTGATTAACCAGGAAGTAGAACTACAGGTAAACCCAAAATAACAAACACTTGTGAAGCCTAACTGAACAATACAGAACAAAGGATATCACTAAGCACTAAAATAAATATTTAACCAAACAATAAGTAAGTACAATATTGGCAGAAGTTTCTGTGGACCTCCGCTCAAGGGTTCCACACAAACCAAGTGAATAGGAAGAAGGATAAGAAAGAAATAATAATGAAAATTAAATAGACATAACTATGAGTATTAATCAATCTAACGAAACTGATGGTATGGAACCCAAATAATTACAGATAATAATAATATTAATCAAATTATACAAAAACCAAAACAGTAGAACATCTTATCTTTCCCAAGTCGGAGGATGAAAGTCAATTAATTGGAAGATCAATCTCCTGATAAAGTAAAGCCAAAAATCTTCCTGCAGAGTACCATGACCTGAAGCCTGTGTAAATGTGCTAATAGAACATGTAACCTCCAAATTGGTAACACAGAATTCATAAAGTAAAATGAACAAACAAACACAATTGTGTTGGCAGAAACAAATAAAACATTTTTGTAATAAAGTAATAAATTCTGTAACAAGGTAGTGTTACGACAGCAGAAGTCATGCAACACTTGGAGCATGCGCGCTGGAGTTTCTAGAATGATTGTGACTTATCGGGAACCTCACGAATATCCCAGTATTTACTAGATGCCCTCTTTTTTAGTATATAAAGGCAGATAAATAGAAGAGATATAGATAAATTGAAGAGATAGATAATTGAGTCAAGTGAGCAGTAGGCACCGTAAGTAAAGTGTGTGAATCGCTGTGATTTATAATGTGTGTTATGAGGTTGTTAAGTTTAAAGTGACTGTGCAAATTCTGTGTATTACTAAAATTTGTATCGAGA